GTGTGGGGTCTTTGGCAAGCAGAGCCCATGACCCTTGTTGGTAGGGTCACCAGTGTCTTTCCCCAGCATGAGGGGAGCTATGTGGTTGAATTGAGTTTGAGGCTTTGACTTTTGGGTAATGAGCTTGACCTCCTTGGACTTTAGCAGGGCCTGGATAGCTCCACATGGCATCTCATGGCCTTGACATCACTGGCCTACATGTTCTTCAGGTCCCTTTTGTGCTTCTTGGCAAAGCACATGTTCCTTAGGAACTACACCAAAAGAAACCACTACAAAAGCAAAAAGTCTACCTACTGACTTGGAGAAGATATTTGCACATTGCACGTCTGACAAGGGGTTAATTCCCAACATATATAAAGTGCTTACACAACACAGTAACAAAAAACCTATTAACTCAAAACAAAAAATAGGCAAAAGATCTAAATAGACACTTTTCCAAAGACATTCAGATGGCCTATAGACATGAAAAAATATTCAAAATCACATGCATTTTAAGAAAAATGCAATTTTTTTAACCCAATGAGACATTACCTCGCCCCCGCAAGAATGGAATTTATTAAAAAATGGTAAACAAGAAATGTTGTGAGTGTGTAGAGAACAAGGACCACTCATCCATTGTTGGTGGAAATTCAAATTGGTGTGATCTCTTTGGAAGTCAGCATGGAGATATCTTAAAAAGGCAAAAATGGAAACACCATATGATCCCACAATTCCACGTTAGGTATTTTCCCAAAGAATATGAAAACTCTAATATGAAAAGATTTAAGCATGCCTAAGTTCACAGCAGCATTATTCACAAAAACCAAGTCATGGAACTGACCAAAATGCCTAATGACAGTCATCTGGATAAAGAAATTGTGAATATATACTCAATAGAAAAGGTGAATAATTGCCTCTTGGGATGAAATGGATAGATCTTGAGGTGATTATGCTGCACAGAAAGAAAGAAAATATCAAAATCAACAAATAACTATGAACCAGAGACACTCTATGGGGGGTAGGGGGCGGGAGAGGAGGGATTGGGGTCAAAATAAGGGGGTTGCAATTGTATGGGGAATATAAAAATAAAATTTATTATAAAAAAATTAAAAAAAATAAAAGATCTACAAAAAAATGCTTTCTTCATATATCATCCTGAGTCATCTTGTTTTACTAGATGAATAGTCATTACTTGTATTACTCCTACAAAAAAACTTTATTTGTTGATCAAGGCAATTTATATAATTTGATAATAGGAGGAAATCTCTAAATACATTTTATCACTTTTGAGTATATCATTCCTTTGTATATCATTTTCTTAACTGCTTAACTTGATAATGTGGATTGGAGCACACTAATGACTAATGTGTTTTTTATAGCTGATATTTGATTATTCTTCTTATTAAGATCCTATTCTCTTTCAACTGGGTGCATACATGTCTACCTTAGTCACTGATAAAACTGATTAATACATGTCTCCATATGGACTCTGTGCTGAAACACAAATGTCAATAAACAGATTGACTTAATACTGCTTTTCAGTAAGAGATGCTTTTAAATTTGAAGGAAAAAATCAAATTATACTTCATATAACTATGCAATATATCTCCTTTTCAAGCTGAACATTTACTCATCCATCTATGAAATATCTTTTTAAAGATATATTTGTTTTTATGCATACAAGAGATGGGGTACAGAACAGAGATGCTGGGGAGTGAAAGCGTTCACCAGAAACAGAGTGGGGAGCAGAACAGGCAGACTGTGAAATACACTGCTGAAGGGAGCAGTGGGTGAGACAGGAGAGATCTGCTGTACAATTTGGGTAGCTTCCTGGCTGGCTGGGGATCGAACTTGTGCTGCAGAGGCTGTGGATTGCTTCACAGTGCTGTGCTTAACCCCTTGAGCCACCAGGGAGGCCCTATGTATGAAATATTGATGTCTATATGTGAGGGTGTTTGTACATTGGGTGAAGGATTGGTTGACATATTTTATGTTTTTTCATTGTATTATCATTGTTTTGTTTTTTTAAATTTTATTTTTGTATTCCCCATACAATTGCGACCCCCTTATTTTGACCCCAGTGCCTCCTTCCCCCCCACATAGTGTGTCTCTGGTTCATAGTTGTTTATTGATTTTTTCTTTCTTATAGTTATTCTTTTTCCTGGTCCTTATTTAGGTTTTCTAGATTCCTGCTATGAGTGAGACCATCTGGTATTTTTCTTTTTCTTTCAGGCTTATTTGACTCAGCATCACCCCTTCCAGCTCCATCCACGTTGCTGCAAATTGCATGAGTTAATCTTTTTTGATTGCTCAGTAATATTCCATTGTGTATATGTACCACATCTTCTTGATCCAGTCATATATTTTTGGGCATTTGGATTGTTTCCAAAGCTTAGCTATTATAAATAGTGCTGCTATAAACATAGGGGTGCAGGTGATCTTTGGAATTAATGTTTCTCTGTCCTTTGGGTAAATACCTAGGAGTGGAATTGCTGGATCATATGGAAGCTCTATCTTTAGTAGGTTGAGGAATCTCCACACAGCTTTCCATAGTGGTTGGACCAGTTTGCACTCCCACCAGCAGTGTAGGAGAGTTCCTTTTTCTCTACATCCTCACCAACATTTGTCGTTGCTAGTTTTTTTAATATGTGCCATTCTCACTGGTGTGAGATGGTATCTATTGTAGTTTTGTTTTGCATTTCCCTGATTGCAAGTGATGTTGAACATTTTTTCATATGCCTGTTGGCCATTTGTATTTCCTCTTTGGAGAAGTTTCTTTTTAGCTCTTCTGCCCATTTTTTGACTGGATTATTTTCTTTGTTTTTGTTGAGTCTCATCAGCTCTTTGTAGATTTTTGAGATCAGTCCTTTATCATTAGTGTTGTGTGCAAAAATGTTCTCCCAGTTGGTGGGGTTTCTCCTTGTTTTGGTTATTGTCTCTTTTGCTGTGCAAAAGCTCTTTAATTTGATGTAGTCCTAGCTGTTGATCTTTGCCTTCACTACCACTGCTTTGGGTGATGTGTCTGTAAAGATGTCTTTGAGGTGCATGTCATGTAGTGTTTCGCCTATATTTCCTTCTATATATTTTATGGTTTCAGGTCTTATGTCTAGTTCTTTAATCCATTTTGAGTTGGTTTTTGTGTATCGTGTGAGATAGTAGTCAAGTTTCATTCTTTTGCATGTAGTGACCCAGTTTCCCCAGCACCATTTGTTAAACAAACTTTCTTTGCTCCAGTGCATATTCCTTGCTCCTTTGTCAAAGATTAGTTGACCATAAATCTGTGGGTTTATTTCTGGGTTTTCTATTCAGTTCCATTGGTCCGTGTGTCTGTTCTGGTTCCAATACCATGCAGTTTTGATGATTATGGCTTTGTAGTATAGTTTGAAATCTGGGAGAGTGATGCCTCCATTCTCTTCTTTTTTTTTTCAGGAGGGTTTTGGCTATTTGGGGTTTTTGGTGGCTCCATATGAATTTCATCGATTTTTTTTTTCTATTTCTTTGAAGAATGACATTGAAATTTTAATTGGAATAGCATTGAATCTGTATATTGCTTTTGGTAGGATGGCCATTTTGATAATGTTAATTCTTCCAATCCATGAGCAGAGGATGTCTTTCCATTTCTTTGTGTCTACTTTTATTTCATTTAACAGTGTTTTATAGTTTTCTTTGTATAGGTCCTTTACTTCTTTTGTTAGTTTGTTCCCAGGTATTTGATTTTTTTGGTTTCAATAATAAAATGAATGGTTTTCTTGATTTCTTCTTCTTCAGATTTATTGTTTGTGTATAGGAAGGCTACTGATTTTAGTGCATTGATTTTGTATCCTGCCACTTTACTAAAGTGATTGATTAGTTTAATTAGTTTTTCTGTGGAGTTTTTGGGGTTCTCTATGTATATTATCATATCATCTGCGAATAGTGATAGTTTGACTTCTTCCTTGCCTATTTGGATTCCTTCTATGTCTTTCTCTTGTCTTGTTGCCATGGCTAAGACTTCCAGTATTATGTTGAAAAGCAGTGGTGAGAATGGATATCCTTGTCTTGTTCCAGATCTTAATGGGAATGCTTTCAGCTTTTCATCATTGAGAATGATACTGGCTGTGGGCTTGTCATATATGGCCTTTATGATGTTGAGATATGTTCCTTGTATCCTGAGAATTTCAAGGACCTTAATCATAAATGGGTATTGTACTTTGTCAAATGCTTTCTCAGTATCTATGGATATTATCATATGGTATTTATATTTCTTTTTGTTGATATGTTGGATTACATTGATTGATTTTTGGATGTGGAACCATCCTTGTATTATCATGGTTTTGATCAAAAAATTTTAGTAATGTCTACAAATATGAGTTTTCTACTAACTCTAAATGAAATACCACTACTCTCTAAATGTTCTATAACATCTACAGGGTCAGTGAAGGAATAATATCAAAATCATCCATTATATTATTCCATGTATTTTCTCAGAAATCTCTTTTATATACATGGATAAGAAATAACTCAAAAAACACCATGATTTTATGTCATATGGTTCAGGGTCACTATTTTTTCAGCACAAATGTTTGTATTCTTTCAAATTCTCCTAGAACCCAAAAATAAACCCACACTTATATTGGCAGTTGATCTATGACAAAGGAACCAAGAGTATACAAAAGGGTAAGCAAAGTCTCTTCAACAAAGTGTTGGGAAAACCAGATAGCCACAGCAGAAAATGAAATTAGACCACTTTCCCACACCAGATACAAAAATTAACTCAAAATGGTTTAAAGACTTGTACATAAGACCAGAAACCATATAATACATTGGAGAAAACACAGTCTCAGACCCAAGGTTAAGAATAACCTTGGAAGAATAAGAAAAAGGGTAAAATTGTTGATATGAGAAACAGGATTTTAATACAGTCAGTTACTTAATTATGCAGAGAAGTTGAAATCAAGAAACAGAAATACAAAGAGAAAGTTCCACTTCAATAATTTGATAGAAGTTTCACAATTTCTGATTCTGAGACCTAAATACTGTGATCATGAGTGTTTCTTAAACTCGGGTGTAATTGGCCATTTTATAGCTGTTATCAATAAGAAACTTTTCAGAGCCCCCTTTATGTCTTTATTTCTCAGACTGTAGATAAAGGGGTTCAACATGGGTGTGACCACAGTGTACATCACTGAGGCAATTACACTTGACAGTGAGTTGTGGGTAGCAGGAGAGCTAAGATACACTCCTACACTGGTACAATAAAATAAGGAGACAACTGAGAGGTGAGATGCACAGGTGGAAAATGCTTTATACTTTCCCTGAGCTGATGAGATTCCACGGATGGAGAAAACTATTTTAGAGTAAGAGTACAAGATACCAGTGAGGGGCGCACCGGCCAGGACAACTGCAGCCAAGTGCATCACTGTTTCATTGATGGAGGTGTCAGAACAGGCAAGTTGAATTACCTTATTGAGTTCACAGAAAAAGTGGGGGATTGCCAAGTCTGTACAGAATGATAGTCGCAACACCATTAAACTTTGTAATAAGGAATGCAGGGCACTCATGATACAGGACACCAGAACCAGCAGTCCACAGAGCCGGGGGTTCATGATGACTGTGTAGTGCAGGGGGTGGCAAATGGCCACATAGCGGTCATAGGCCATCACAGTCAGGAGAAAGTCATCCAACACAGCAAAGAATAACACAAAATATATCTGCGTGATGCAGCATTCATAGGTTATGACTTTATTCTTTGTCTGGATGTTCAGCAGCATCTTGGGGATGGTAGAGGAGGTGAAGCAGATGTCTACAAAAGACAGGTTGGTGAGGAAGAAGTACATGGGTGTGTGGAGGTGGGGGTCAAAGATAACAGCCAGGATGATGAGCAGGTTTCCAGAAACTGTGACCAGGTACATAAAGAGGAAAAGCCCATATACAAGAGGTTGTAGTTCTGGTTCCTTTAATAATCCCAGAAGAAGAAATTCCGAAATCTGTGTACCATTTCCTGGTTCCATGTGGTGGAGACAAAGACTAGAAAAGATTAAAAAAAAATTTAAAATAAATATTAGGGCCTCCCCGGTGGCGCAGTGGTTGAACGCTGGGTTGTGAAGCTGCCCGCAGCCTCTGCAGCGCCGGTTCGATTCCCGGCTGCTCCCCGGCCACCGGAGGAGGGTCCCACATGGCACGCAGACCTCTCCTGCTGCCCGCTGCTCCCCTCAGCAGTGTACCTCGGTCCTTCTGCCTGCTCTGCTCCCTGCTCTGGCTCTGGTGAATTCTCTGACCCTCCCATGCTTCTGACTGTACCCAGTGCTTGTATAAATAAATCTTTAAAAAAAAAATACTAAATACTAAAAGTTATATTTTGAAGTCAATAAATAAATATATATTTGTGTGAAACTGTTCCTTTTAGAGTAGTTCATCTGTCTATCTCTGAAATTCCTGTTCTACTCAGCAATTCCCCAAATGTCATATGTCCTACAGTCTTATTAAGAAATTCTTTCATACATTTAAGGAATGTATGTGAGTACCAACTTTCTCTAGGCAAAAATAATATAGTAAGAAAAAAAATCCCCATCCTTTACTGATTTAGAAGGAAAATACACAAACAAAATATATCCCATTTCAAATGGTGACCTGGTGTTATAAAGAAACAGGATGGTGATGTGGGTGTTATTTCTGCCAGGGTGATCATAAAGAATTAGCAAACACTGTGGCACATGAATAGTACCTTGGTGAAGAAGGGGCAGGAGATGCTATCATCTAGAAATTGTGTGCACAGCAGGGGAAATGGTGAGTGCAAAACTCTTAATGTACTTGTTTCAGATAGTCAAGACTCACACATAAGCCAGTGTTTCTAGAGGAATAATCAAGAAGGAGCATAATGAGAGATGGGGTCAAATGTTAGGGAAAGAATTGGTCTCCCTATTGATACTGAAACCCATGACACAGTTCCTTATGACATGTTTCTTGCACTTTCTTGATTTTGTTTCCAAGGAATGTTTGTTTTTTAAATTGAAGTAACTATTGGTTTACAATACTGTATATACTTTAAGGAAATGCATTCACACCTCTTCAGATTTATGTTACCATACCACACTTACCACCAAAGTGCATGTAGTTCTTCTACTACTTGGTAGGATGTCTTCATTATAATGGTAGTTTCTTTCACTGTGCAGATGTTTTTAGTGTGATATGGTTCCATTTATTTATTTTGGCTTTTGTTTTGCTTGCTGTTGGTGGCAAGGTCCCAAAGACATCACTGAAGCCGAGGTAGTAGAGTGTTTACCTATGTTTTCTTCTATGTATTATATGGTTTCTGGTCTTACATCCAAGTTTTTAACCAATTTTGAGTTAATTTGTGTATCTGGTGTGGGAAAGTAGTTCTAATTTCATTTTCTGCTGTGGCTGTCTGGCTTTCCCAACACTGTTTGTTGAAGAGACTTTCCTTATCTTTTGGTACACTCTCGCTTCCTTTGTTATAGATCAACTGCCCATGTAAGTGTCTATTTATTTTTGGGTTCTCAATTCTATTCCATTGGTCAGTGTGTCTACTTTTATTCCAATGCCATGCTGTTTTTATTACTATTTACCTTATAGTATAGTTTGAAGTCTGGGAGTGTGATGCCTCCATTCTTATTCTTTCTTGTCAATTGTTTTTGCTATTCAAGTTCTTTTATGACTCCATATACATTTTAGCACTGTTTGCTCTATTTCTTTGAAGAATTCAGTTGAAACTTTGATAGGGATTGCATTGAATGTATATATTTGTTTGGATAAAATAGACAATTTAAAAATATTAATTCAGTCATTACATGAGCATGTAATATCTTTCTTTGTGTCATCTATTTCTCTTAGCAATTGATGTCTTATAGTGTTCATTGAATATGTCTTTTACCCTCTTTGCTAGTTTTTTCCTAGGTATTTAATACTTTTTGGTACTACAGTAAAAATGATTGTTTTCTCTCTCTTCTAGTTCATAATTTTTACATAGGGATGCAACAGACTTTTATTAATTGATTTTATAGACTACCACTTTACTTATTGTTTCTTATAGTTTTTCAGTGGAGTCTTTAGGGCTGTCTAAGTATATTTTCAGGCCATCTACAAATAGTGATTCTTGTGAATACAAATTAATCCACTCCTTATTTCTGCCTGGTTGTTAACTTTTTGGCACTTTTTTTTTGTTTTTAATTAATCAATCAATTATTTATTTATTAAATTTTTAAAAAAGATTTATTTATTTATTTATACAAGCACTGGGCACAGTCAGAAGTGTGGGAGGGTGAGAGAATTCACCAGAGCCAGAGCGGGAAGCAGAGCAGGCAGAAGGACCGAAGCACACTGCTGAGGGGAGCAGCAGGCGGCAGGAGAGGTCTGCCCGCCATGTGGGACCCTCCTCCGGTGGCCGGGGAGCAGCCGGGGATCGAACTGGCGGTGCAGAGGATGGAGGCAGATTTGCAACCCAGTACTCAACCTTTGTGCCACCGGGGAGACTCCTGGCACATTTTTTTTAAGGATCACATTTTGGCATACCTGAGCTAAAGTGTCCCTGCCCTGAGAATTGCTCCTGGTCTACTACATTTATCTCTTGTCTCCTGGGGCCACGTTACTTCAATGTTCTTCACACACCCAGCCACAGTAATTAGGAAAGAAATTATATGACCTACTGTCCAAATTAGATATCCTTTACAAAATAATGTAGAAATAATACTAAAATTTCCTTTATTTATAGAAATAAAGAAATATTCCTTTATTTCTGCATTGGACTATGAAGAATAAAAAATGTTTAATAAAGTAGATGATCCCAGAGAGTTTGTGAAAAAGAGAAACCTTTTTGGCTCTGGCAGTATTCCAACCCAATTTAAATTCTCCTGATGACCCGAATAACAAATAAGGTAGCAAAATGAATTTGTCCAAAAGACAAAGGAGTGATATCTTTTATGGTGTCAACACCTTATGATTAAATTTCATAAATAAACTTATCAACATGAAGCAAATCTCCAAAAATAAGGAAATATACAACATTCAACAATGAATGTTAAAGATAAAATGGTGAAAACTCTTCTAAATGATGTTAAATGCAAATATTTGGAATCAGTAAATCATGACTGGGATGCCGATTTTACCCCTTATTAGCTATTTGAACTAGGAAAACCAACCAAACCACTTCAATTGTTAATATCATCATCTGTGTAGTGGGGATAGTGGTATCCATCCCCCTAAGGTGGTTGATGAGTTAACCACTATATGCAAAAAAACCCAAAAAACAAAAAACCCTACGAAAACCAAAAAACTTGGCATGGCACCTTCCTGGCAGTAAATGAATGGTATTCACTGGTGATGAGAAGAGGTTGATTTTTTTCCTTCTACCTCTGCAGTGTCTTCTCCCCAACTCTCAGTTCCCAATTTCACAGCCTTATTTCAGTTCCTTATTGTTTCTCCAAACTTTCAAGGGCTGGAAACCATCTATCTTCACATTTACCACAGAGACATCTTTCTATATATTAAACTGGTCATGTGACTCCCTGACTTTAACCATCCTTAGTAACCAAAAGTCTGTGGCATCAGACATCAGTCTGACTCTTCATTACTGAGCCTCCAGTTTAGCTCTTGGTGATGCTTTGCTTTCACCTCATTCGTTTCCCAAAGTTGACTGACTTGCAGCCATACCACTGATTCAAAACTGCATTTAAGCGCCTATTTCCTTTCACATGGGATCTTACTCACTGGTCTACTTGGACTTTTCCACCGTCTTCAAAACTCTGTCTCAACTTTTAGATGCCTCTATGAACCTAATTTTTAAAACATTCCCATGGAAAAAAGACACTTTGTCTTGCACTTAATTTTGACATTGGGGCTATCATTGTGTAATTTTCATCTAATTCTATTTTTCCCAGTGAGTACCTTGAGGCATATAGTAATGATATAATACTTCCACTCACCTAGCTTAGTTTGGAATAGTAGCTGAATAAATATTCCTTGAAGGAATACGATAATTTATCCTCACAATGAGAGAAATAAGAGAAAAAAAGGCAGTGAAATGCTAACATGGGTGTGGAGGTCATGAGGTCATGTGAGAGGAATATTTTTCACATTCTGTGCTGGGGACTTATTAGAGCATGGGACTATAGTTTAAGAAAAACAAATAGAATATAATAACTAAAACACAGAAGAAAATATCAGAGTTCATCATACATAGTAAAGGGGCATACCAAATCAATTTATGGTTTGTGTAGTTCAGGTGTGTGTGTACGCACATAGATATGTATTTGCATATCTTTAGGAACGCACATGTTGGATCACAGTGTAAGATATACTTATGCAGAACCCTACAGTAAAGTAGATTTTTAAGAGAATTCAATTTTTGCTAATGAGGGAAAAGCGATATGAATAAAGAGTTCAGTAGGAGATCCAGTTTGCAAACAGGACAGGCAGCCATTGTGGGAACTAACATTTCCCTCAGATTAAGAGACTGAACCTTTACTGCTCTACTTGACTTATCTAGTCAAGTGGGATTCAGGTCTCTGATGGTTATGCCTGAACCTATGGGACCACATTTGCTTTTATGGCCCAATTGCGGATGAGGCTGGCCTTCCTCTCATTTTTCTTTGTGGCATTCTTTCACCACTCATTCAGGTGGTTAGATACAAATATAACTATAAAATATAGAATGAAAGTTTAAATACTTCAAAATGAGTCACTGAATCAAGATTAAATTGTCAAAACTTGAAAATAAAATCCCATCATGAAGGATTTTCAAAATTGTGGAAGAAGCACTGTTTAATTTGATGTGATATAAAGAATATGTATTGAAAATGCAATACAGCTTACAAACAAAATTAAAAAGTAATGGAGAGAACACTGTATTACAGAAAGATTTGCCCATTTATTTTTTTCAAAACTGCACTGATACCGTGTAGTTGGTGAAAACAGCCTTAATACCTTGTTTGAAAGAATGAAATGAGAAGCAGCGACAAAATCTCTCTGATGCCACTATGTAAAACTAAAGGCCTCACCCATAAAACTAAAGGCCTCACACATAAAACTTACAATAAAGCAAATGCCTGACTAACCTACAAACATATTCAGACTCACAATGAAATAACTGCAAAATAAAACTCTTTATCATACCTTTCTAAGATATTAAATAGTATTTTTTTGTATGTGACAAGGCAGCGTGCACACAGATACTGTAGGTATGCTGTGTGACTGCCAGGTAATGTTTGCAAGCAAAGAAGTCCTTGGTATGAATTATTCTCGCTGATATGCAAACATAGTTGCATAAAATTTTACCTATAGCAAAAAATTTTCAAATCTCTCAATTTAGTTGATATTGTTCCATACCAAATATTTTATCTTCTACCCTGACATGCAAAATAAATAATTTCTACTTATATTGAAAGCACTTGAGGCCCCATTCTTTCTTCTAATTGAACTTCCTTGTATCATTTACGTCAACAATAACCCCTACGTTGCTGAGTTGAAAGTAAACCCTAAATTGCTTTGTATTTTTAGCAAAAACAATAAATACATCAATTCAATAATCAAGAAAGGAAGAAGCATAGCATAGTCATACTACCTCTCAGGTTGTCACAGGCAAATGCTCTTAACCCACCTTCTCCGTCACTGTTACCCAAATATACTGAGTTGTTGGACTCACCTTGGTGGGATCTCTGAGAGAAAGGACTCTCTGTGGATGTCTGAATTCCTCCTTGGAAGGTAGATGATGGAGACTGAAACTCAGATAAGAGAGGAGAAATGAGTGAAGCACTAACCTCTGAGGAAGAGTTAGGAACTAAAATAAACAAACAAAAAATAAACAAACAATAAAACATGCCTAATCCATCCAAAGTTACACACACAGAGAATGGAAGATAATAGCAGCTCCCTATATCTGCTCATTAGGCATATTTCTGTCTTGGCCCCAACCTCTAAGCACTTGACTTCCCTTTGGGACACTGTCTTGATAGAAAGGAAAAATTTCCTAGTGATTCTTGTTACCAAGAGACCAGGTTAGAAGTCAAGTGCATTCAGTTTTTTTAAACTTTCTCCATGAACTCACCATACTTACAGAGGTCTAAGTTACCTAGCACCTTATCTCAACTCTGAGTCAGTTTTATCAAGTCAAATCCAAGAAACCTGTTAGGACAAGGCATTGAATTTTGATGGGAACTCAGCCCATGTTATTTTTCTTTATCTGAATTCCATTGATTTAAAATCTTTGGCACCAAACTCCATGCATTTATGATACTTTTGCCATAACAAATATGAGTAATTTCATACTCAATATCACGAGATGTCATTTCCTTACTACACATGTCTGTTAAGGATAGAATATATCCTTATATTTTTTTTAAATGCACTATTACTTGACCTTAACACCTTACAGGTATTGTCTGATTTAATCTATTTTTCAGTCCATTGTATGAGATAGTACTATAATGAATTCCATTCTCCAGTGTGGAAATGAAGCTTGGAGAGGTTTAATGTCTGTTTAAATTTATAGTAAGATGGGGTCCTCACTAAAATTTGTCATGATGTTTTCAAACTCTGGGGCAGTAGCTCTCAACAGAGATGAATTAGCTCACGTAGATATTTGACAATATTTGAGGGGATGCTGCTAAAAACTCTGAAATTCAAAGGATAGCTCCTAACACAAATATTATCCTACCCCAAATATCAACAGTAAGAAATTGAGAAAACCAACCTAGACAAGCAGTTCTCCAACTTCAATATGTGTAGAACCACCCAGATTCTTAGAATAAATGCAGATTCTGATTGAGTAGGTCCTGGTGGACCTAACAATTCTGCATTTCTAGCAAATGCTCAGTGACAAGGCTGTTCTATTAAGGCCCTTTAAGAGAAAGGTGTAGGTAGAATTAGTTCTTCTCAATCAAAAATCATCTTTGCATATAATTTTGAAGAATTATTGTATTTGTTCATCATCCAGAACCTGTGATAAATTATTTTACATAAAGACCCTTGAATGTCATCAAATTATTCATTTTTAAAAAAGAAATGGCAGCATAAATTCCTCCAAAGATATCCACATCCCAATTCCCAGTACTGTTGAATACGTAATTTTTTGTAGCAAGGAGGATTAGGTTATCAAATGAAAATGAATTACCTGACTGTAGGGTAAGGTAAAAGGTATCAGGCTTTTCTGCCCTTCCGCCATCAGGATAGATGAGAGAGCCCTGTGATCCTGGGTGCATGCCTGATGGCGGGCACCTGAAGTGGGTACACCTGCGCTAAAAGACTGATAATATAAGGGTGGTGCAGCAGAGTGCGGTGTGGTGGTAGTGCGGTGTTAAGGGTGGAGGAGTGGAGTGTACGGAGGAGTGTTGGAGCGACTACAAACCATGGCGAAGAGCATGTGGCTGCTAGAACCGTTCATAAACCTGCTCAGAATGGGTTGGTTGCTTTACAACTGGCGTAGTCGGCAGGACGGTTCGAGGCAGGACAGCTCTATGCAGACGAAACCCTTTGAAATCTGGAGAGGGATCCCTGGATGGCCGGCCACGAGCAGATGGTACCCGGTGGCCGACCTCCTCGCCCAGTGGGCACCTCCCCAGGAATGGCCAGAGGTAGATGGATCCCCGGGGCAGTTGGAACAGGCCCTGTATGAAATAGAAGAAACCCTGAGTGGATGCAGTGCCCGCGAGGCGGCAGGAGCCGTGGGATGGGTGTTTCTCACGGCTCTGCGAGAGTCCAGGCGGAAAGAGCAATCTAGGATCCAGCAAGTACTGGATGAGATGCGAGAAGAGATGCGAGAAGAGATGCGGATACAGCAACAACATTTGAGGATTCTGGAGGAAGAAGTTCGGAGAAACCGACCCACCCCTCCGGAGATGCCAGACTCCGTCTCAGGAAGGAAGGAGAGGGAGGCTGGCCCTTTGCGCGAATCACAGCCGGTGGTGGCAAACCAGCCTGCGACTCCAGAGATGCCTGACCCCTGCTCAGGAGAGGAGGAGAGGGAGGCTGAACCTTTGCCCGAGTCCCAACCGGCAGTGGTAAACCAACCCGCCACCCCGGAGATGCCGGACTCCTCTGGAGAGGAGGAGGAGGCCGGGCCCATGCTCCGGGCCCGCCCGGTGGTGACTCAGAAAATGAAGCGGCAGCGACCCATGGCCCCAGGGGGTCAGGCAGCGGGACCACCACAGATGACGGAATTTACTACCTACAGACCTTACACCCAGGCGGAACTGGTGGACTTGGGCAAACAGTTCTGCCAGAAACCAGGGGAACCCTTGGCAGCCTGGCTGCTACGTTTATGGGACCTGGGGGTGGATGGGATTATTTGCACGGCTCAAGAGATGGAGAGACTGGCCTCCGTGACTTCACACCCATCCTTGCGACAGAGGCTGCAGAACAGCCGGCGGTATGGCCAGGGCGACCACACCCTCCTGGAGTGGATAATGGCTGCCATACGGACAGTATGGGCTGATGCGGGAGATGTGCCGGAGACAGTAAGCGGATGGCAGACGTACGCCGAGCTGGTGCAGGTACTTCGGGAATTGGGGATGCGGCAGGCCATGTTTAATGTGAATACGCGTGGTCCTGACGACGAGCGTTTCACAGCAGGAATGAGAGACTTGGTATTAAAGGATGCCCCCTCCTCTACATTTGGATCCCTCATGGCAGTACTAGCACCCTATGTGGGACGTCAGATACATGACGTCACCACCATGATAGCCAGCTTGGGAGAAGTTGAGAGCCGGCGCTCTCAGAAAGGAATACGGGTAGTTTCAGAAAGGTCAAAAGGAATGCCAAGGAGGGCAAGGAGGCCTCTTGGCATCACAGAACCTATAAAAGTCACCCGTAAACAAATGTGGATGGATTTAATAAGAGCAGGCGTAGATAGCACTAAAATAGACGCACAGCCCAATGCATATTTATTGGAATTATGGCAGCAGCTGCGAGAAGACCAGAGGTTCACACCCATGAGAAGGACTGCTGCTCAAGGGGAGCCTGGAAACCCCAGGCCTCAGGCACGCGCCCTGCGGCTGGAAGACCACTTGCTGCCAGCCCCGTCCTCGGGTGATGGCCTGATATCCTTTGAATAGGGTGAGGGCCAAGGAACCCGTCCACAGGGGACGGGCGGGGACCGGAGGCCACATGTGGAGCTTGCCATTCACTGGTCCCCGACTAACGTACAAAGGGTTTTAGCGCTAGTAGACACAGGAGCAGAATGTACTCTGCTCTATGGAAATCCGGAAAGATTTCATGGGTCTACTTGTTATATTGATGGCTATGGAGGCCAGAGTGTCAAGGTGACAGCAGTAAAACTATCTCTGGGGATTGGGCGATTACCCCCTAAAGAGTATAAAGTGTATGTATCGCCCATCCCGGAGTACATCCTGGGGGTGGATGTACTACGTGGCTTATGGCTAGAAACCACAATCGGAGAGTTTCGCCTTAGAGTGCGAGTGGTAAAGGCAGTGGTGAGAGGACATGCTAAGCATCCGCCCCTACAACTGCCAGTCCCTAGGCGAGTGACTAATACCAAGCAATATCGGTTGCCCGGAGGCTACAAAGAAATTACAGGCACAATATCAGAGCTGGAGAAAGTGGGCATTGTGCGTACTGCCCACAGCCCCTACAATTCGCCAGTGTGGCCGGTGAAGAAGCCCGATGGCTCTTGGCGCATGACAGTAGATTATCGTGAATTGAATAAGGTAGTTCCCCCCTTGCATGCTGCAGTGCCTTCAGTGGCAGATTTGATGGATCGTCTGAGCCACGAGCTGGGAATGTACCATTTTGTAGCTGATCTGGCAAATGCTTTTTTTTCCATAGATATAGCCCCAGGAAGTCAAGACCAATTCGCCTTCACCTGGGAAGGCCGGCAGTGGACATTCACTGTGCTGCCACAGGGATACCTGCACAGCCCGACTCTGTGTCACGGGCTGGTGGCAGCAGATTTGGCCCGGTGGGAAAGGCCATCTTCAGTGCGTTTATACCATTATATTGATGATATTTTATTGACAAGTGACTCTCTTACAGATCTGGAAAAGGCAGTACCTCTCTTATTAACACACCTGAAAACATGCGGCTGGGCAATCAACGAAAGCAAACTGCAGGGGCCTGGACTGTCAGTTAAGTTCCTGGGAGTTGTTTGGTCGGGTAAGACAAAGGTTATCCCTGAAGCTGTGATAGATAAAGTTCAAGCTTACCCCACTCCAACCACAGTGAAGCAGCTGCAAGCCTTTCTGGGTCTGCTGGGTTACTGGAGGGCATTTATACCTCACATGGCCCAGCTCTTATGGCCCTTGTATATGTTAATACGTAAGGGAGCCAGGTGGGATTGGTCAGCTGAGGCAGACACAGCATTTGCCACGGCCAAACGAACTATAAAGACTGCTCAGGCCTTGCAGGTTTTTGACCCAGCCCGACCCTGTGAGCTCGATGTACATGTTACTCAGGAAGGGTTCGGGTGGGGACTCTGGCAGAAATCAGAGAGGCTACGACAGCCTATTGGGTTCTGGTCCCAACTCTGGAAGGGGGCTGAGGTTAGGTATTCCTTAATTGAGAAACAGTTAGCTGCGGTATATGCAGCCTTACTAGCCACAGAAAGTATAACTGCCACAGCCCCTGTCTCAGTGAGAACCACTTACCCAATAGCTGGATGGGTACGGGACTGGACAACAAAGCCCCATAGTGGCACTGCTCAAACGCCCACTTTGGCGAAGTGGGGGGCATACTTAGAACAGCGCTGCACCCTGTCAACTAGCCCCTTAAGGGTGGAGTTGCAGGAGGTTCTTGGTCCTGTGACATATACTAGTATGGAACCAAATTCAGAAGCCTGTATAGAAGCCGAACCTGAAGCTAGTCCCTACAAGGAGGGTCGAGCACCGATTCCAGCAGAGGCCTGGTATACAGATGGCTCCAGCCGGGGCCAGCCAGCCTCTTGGACAGCGGTGGCTGTACACCCAGAAACAGACACTATCTGGTTCGAAACTGGGACGGGACAGAGCAGCCAATGGGCTGAACTGCGAGCAGTATGGATGGTGGTGGCCCATGAGCCTTCCCCTGTAGTAATCTGTACTGACAGTTGGGCTGTGTACAGGGGTCTGACACTGTGGATTTCCACATGGAATTTAAATGACTGGACAGTTATGCATCGGCCATTGTGGGGCCAGGCCCTATGGAAAGATCTATGGGATCTGGGGCATCAGAAGCAGGTGACTGTTTATCATGTCACAGGACATGCCCCATTAGCCTCACCAGGCAATGATGAGGCAGATACCCTAGCCCGGGTTCGATGGCTTGAAACTGCTCCAGGGCGGGATGTTGCGCAGTGGCTACACAGGCGCTTGCTCCACGCAGGGCAGAAGACAATGTGGGCCACTGTACGTGCCTGGGGTCTACCTGTAACTTTAAAAGAAATCCAGACTGCATGTGAAACATGTGTAGTATGTTCTAGGACTTACCCCCGGAGACCTTTTGCATCTACAGGCCAGGTGTTGCGGGGGCAGGTACCCCTGACACGCTGGCAGATTGACATCATTGGACCACTACCTCGCTCCGATGGACAACAATATGCTGTCACCTGTGTGGACACTGCTACCGGGTTATTGGCAGCTTACCCTGCTCCACATGCGGACCAAAAGGCAGTTTTGGCAGCACTGGCACGCCTATGTGCTGCATATGGACGTCCGCTGGTAGTGGAGAGCGATCAAGGGACTCGTTTTACAGGAGCCCGGGTGCAGCAGTGGGCCAAGAACATGGGTGTTGAATGGAAGTTTCACACTCCCTATAATCCCAAAGCTGCAGGGATTATAGAGAGGTATAATGGCCTACTGAAGCAAGGACTAAGAGCCACTGCCCCCACTCAGACGCTGGCCGGGTGGAGCCGACGTCTCTGGGAGGTGTTGCAGACATTGAATGAGAGGAGCAGGAGAGGCGGCCTGGCTCCAGTGGAGGCATTGCTACATCGTGCCGCTGCTCCCATCCAATTACAAATAAAGACGTCAGACATCTTATTAAAACCGGGACTTGGACAGCAGGGCAACATCCTATTGCCAGCCCCAACTGGAGTGGACCCAGGGCAGACTGTGGACTGGGAATGGCCCTGGACAGTGAAGGCTCCCCACATGCGGTGGGTGGCTCTGATAGCCCCTTGGGGTCGTGGCCTGGAGGCCAATTTACAGATAAAACCATGGGTGAGTGCGCAGTGGCCGCCACGGGTGCGTGTTACCCACCCTGGAGTGACAGATCAGCAGGCAATCCTCAAGGGGACATTTGTAATAACTCTGTGGCCCATTATGAGCTCTCCACTCCTGCTGCATGTAGAACCCACTGATGCCTCTTCACTGGCAAAGCGAGTGTGGTATTCACGCCCTGGAAGGCCACTGATGCCAGCAACAATATTGTCTTCGGATGCCAAATTGGCATGTATATTGCCCGATGGGAGGGATCTCCCATTGCTGGTACCGGTAACTTCTCTGTCCTTCCGCCCCTAGGAAAATTAAGTTTAGTCATTTTGTGGTGTGTTTGCTTTTGTGGTCCAGGGCTGCACTGTTTATGTTTGCTTAAAAAAAATTGTACATACGTAGACTATGTGGCAGAAAACCCTGAGGGGGTGGACTGTAGGGTAAGGTAAAAGGTATCAGGCTTTTCTGCCCTTCCGCCATCAGGATAGATGAGAGAGCCCTGTGATCCTGGGTGCATGCCTGATGGCGGGCACCTGAAGTGGGTACACCTGCGCTAAAAGACTGATAATATAAGGGTGGTGCAGCAGAGTGCGGTGTGGTGGTAGTGCGGTGTTAAGGGTGGAGGAGTGGAGTGTACGGAGGAGTGTTGGAGCGACTACAAACCACGGCGAAGAGCATGTGGCTGCTAGAACCGTTCATAAACCTGCTCAGAATGGGTTGGTTGCTTTACACTGACTTTAAGATGATTAGTCCTAATTATCCATGTTGGTTTAAGGTAATTACACTGATTGTATCAATGTTGGAACAGGAGGGAGAAGTGTAGATGTCAGAGATAGATTTGAAATTGCTATGCTGCTGACTTGAGGATGAATGAATGGCCATGGGCTAAGGAACATATGTGGGCACTACAAACTGAAATAGGAAAATTAGTGGATATTCCCTGTGTCTCCAGGAGAAATCCAACCTTTAAAACATCTTTTAATATAATTTTTACTTAAGTAACATTGCATTAAAAATTATATAAGTTTCAGGTGTGCATCATTATTAATCAACACCTGTTTTACTGTGATTTCACCACTAAAAGACAAATTCAACTCTTCATTTTTTATTACCCAATAAGATCCATTTCAAGTTCTCACTATCAGAAGAGCAAAAGTATAAATTTGTTTCTTTTAAGTCATGAGTATGTAAATCATTTATTTAAGTACATTGTTTTATATCCTTGTTAGTGTTTTGACAGTGCAGGATCAGGTGTGGTTGCTATAACCTGCCCACCACAAACCCCTCATTGTGTTCTGGCTCTGCCTGTTCTCAACATTCCCCCGCCCCCTATGGATGCCTCAGATAGATGGTCAGCTCTCAAGGGTTTGCTTTAAAGGTTGTCTTTGTCTGACACTTTATTTAGTTTCTCTATATTCTACATATAAGCGACACCATCTGGTATTTATCATTCTCCTGCTGGCTTATTTTGCGTAGCATAATCCCTTCCAGCTCCATCATGTTGCTGTAAAAGGCGTGAGTTTACATGCAATTTGCAGCAATATGGATGGAACTGGAAGGGATCATGCTCAGCGAAATAAGCCAGAAAGAAAAAGAAAAATATTGGATGATCTCACTCATAGCAGGAATTTAGAAAACCTAAATAAGGGACCAGGAAAAAGACTAATTATAATAAAGAAAAATCAAAATTAACAAGCAACTATAAGCCAGAGACACACTAATGGGGGGGTGGTGGAGAAAAAGAGGGATCAGGGTCAAAATAAGGGGAGTGGGAATTGTAGGGGGAATATAACCAAAATGAATATGCATACACTGTGCAAAAATGAAAAATGATGTAAGAATTATATAAAATAAAATATTAAAAACAAAACAAAACAATGAGGCTCTGATGCATGCTATTTGAAAGAAGCCAGACACAAAAGCTAAATACTTTTTGATTCAATTTATATCAAATGTCCAGATTTAGCAGGTCCATAAAGAAAGAAAGAAATAGTTATTGCCAGGGTTTGGGGAGTAGGGGCCGATAAAGTGACTGCTAATGAGTATGGGATATCTTTCTGGGTAAAATAAAAAATGTTGTGCATTAGATATGGATGCTCAATTGTGTGAATACTTCAAACACCACTGAATTGTAAAGTTTCCCAGTTTTATGGTATATGAATTATGTTCCGATAAATGATAATGAAATTTAAAAAACAAACAAAAAAAATGGTGTGAGTTTATCTTTCTGATTGCTGAATAGTGTTGCACTGTGTATATGTACCACATATTTTTGACCCACTCATTTTTTGGGGGGTGCATTTAGGTCACTGCCATAGCTTGGCTATTGTAAATAGTGCTGCAATAAACTTAGAGATGCAGGTTCCCTTTCAAATTAGTGTTTTCATGTTCTTTGCCTAGATACTTAGGAGTGGAATTGCTGGGTGATAAGGAAGATCCATTTTTAACCTTTGAGAAACCTCTAAATTGCTTTCCATAGCGGGTGAATTAGTCTACATTCCCACCAACAGTGTAAGAGGGTTCTATTTCTTCCGGCACTTGTCTCTGGTCTTTTTGATATGGGCCATTCTCATTGGTCAGGTGGTATCTCATAGTGTTTCGCATTTGCATTTCCCTGATTGTAAGTGATGATGAACATTTTTTCATGTACCTATTGGCCACTTGTATGTCTTTTTTGGAGAAGTGACTGTTTAGCTCTTTTACCCAGTTTTTCGTTGGGTTATTTGTTTTCTTTTTGTTGAGTTGTGTGATCTCTTTGTAGATCTTTGATATCAGTCCCTTGTCAGATGTATATATCCTCCCTTTCAGTAGGGTGTCTGTTCATTTCAGTTTTGAGTTGATTTTTGTGTATGGTGTGAGATAGTGGTCTAATGTCATTCTTTTGCATGTGGTAGTCCAATTTTTCCACACTGTTTATTCTAGAGGCTTTCCATTTGTTCCAATGTATAGTCAATGTTTTGTATCATAAATTAGTTGTCCATATCTATCTGGACATATATGATTTTATGTCTGGGCTCTCAATTCTATTCTATTGGTCTTTGTGTCTGTTATTGGTCCAGTACCATGCCATTTTAATTATTATGGTTTTACAGTATAGTTTGAAGTTTGGAAGTATGATACCATTTCCCTCCCTCCTCCTTTTTTTTTTTTTGTCAGTGTAGCTCCATTTTGGTTATTTGGGGTCATTTGCGGTTCCATTTGAATTTCAGTAATAGTTGTTCCATTTTTTTGAAGCATGCTAATGAAATTGGGATTGCATTAAATCTGTAAAAATATTTGGGTAGGATTGTAACAGGGTGGTCCCTAGGAAAGGGGGAGGTTCCAGGTTCCCTGCCCCACCCAAATGGAGGGTGGAGCTGAGCAGGGAGAGAAGAAGCTGCAGAGGAGACTGAGGAAGGAAGGAACAGGATGGAGAGCCAGAAGGAGACCAGGAGGAGGCACATGGAGCCTAGAGACACGTGAAGAAACTGTGCTTGTCTTTTGGTGGTGGACTGGGTGACACAGATGTGGGTGAGACCTGTGGAGAGGTGACAATGGCAGCTTTTATCTTGATTCTGATTTTGCTCTTTTCCTTCCGGGCTTGTCTGGTTGTTTCTGACCCTTTTCTGTGGGTTCCCACTGGAAGATGCTTTAGTCTTGTGGCAGGCTTTGGGGCCTTGCTCTGGGCCAATCCCATTTGGATGGAGTTTTACCCACGAGGAGACGGGTAACTTTGGGTGCTTGATTTAGAAACTAGATTCTTTGCCTTTCCTGTATTGTTTCCTAATTGTATTAAAGTTCCTTCCCATTAAAGTCTCACATGTTTTGTGTTGATGCGGCGGATGGCAGAACCCATTTAGAATAGGCAGGTTTGTGGGGTTTGGGCTGCCCCTCTCCCTGCCCTGTAACAGATTGTCCATTTTGACAATGTTGATTCTTCCAGTTCAAGAGCAGGAATATCTTTTCATTTCTTTATGTCTTTTTCTGTTTCTTTTATCAATAGATTATGGTTCTCCTTGTAGAGGTCCTTCATCTCCTTTGTTAGATTTATTGCTATGTTTTTAATTTTTTTGGGTGTGATGGCAAATGGGATTAAAAAAAATTTCTTCCTCTTCCTCACAGTCACCTCTTCCTCTAGGTGACTGTGTACATATAGGAAGGAAATTGTTTTTTGTGTATTGATTTTGTAACCTGCCACTTTGCTGAACTGGTTTATTGTTTTAACTGATTTTTCTACGGAGTCTTTATTAAAGTTCTCTATGTATATTATCAAGTTATTTGCAAATGATATCTTTATTTCCTCTTTCTCAATATGCATTCCTTTTACATCTTTCTCTTGTCTAGTTGTTCTAGCTAGGACTTCCAATACTATGCTGAAAAGTAGTGGTAAGAGTGGTGATTCTAAGTTAATTTAATGATAAAACATAAAACATGTCAAGGAATGCTTATATGAAGATATATATTTCATAATCTATGTTTTCCAGTGACTAAAGTAGGCAGTGTAGGAGTGGAATTGCTGGATTATATGGTAGCTCCATTTTCAGTAGTTTGAGGGCTCTCCACACAGGTTTCCATAGCGGTTGGACCATTTTGCATTCCCACTAGCGTGTAAGAGAGTTCCTTTTTCTCCACATCCTCTCCAGCATTTGTAGTTGGAAGTTATTTTAATGTGGGACATTCTCAATGGTGTGAAGTGGTATCTCATTGTGGTTTTGATTTGCATTTCCATGATTACAAGTGATATTGAACATTTTTCATATACCTGTTGCCCATTTGCATTTCCTCTTTGGAGAAGTGTCTTTTTAGCTCTTCTGCCTGTTTTCTGACTGAGTCATTTGCTTAGTTTTTGTTGAGTCATGTGAGCCCTTTGTAGATCTTTGCAATCAGTCCATTATCAGCTGTATGGAGTGCAAATATTTTCTCATATTAGTAGGGTGTATCTTTGTTTTGGTTGTTATAGCTTTTACTGTGCAGAAGCTTTTAGTTTAATGTAGTCCCAGATGGTTATCTTTTTCTTCACTTTCTGTGCTTCAGAGGATGAGTCTTTGAAGATGTTTCTGACATGTAAGTCATGGAGTGTTTTGCCAATGTTTTCTTTTATATATTTTATGGTCTTATGTTCAAGTTTTTTTTTTTTTTTACCCATTTTGAGTTGTTTTTTGTGCATGGTGTGAGGTAGTAGTCTAGTATCATTCTTTTGCATGTAGTGGTCCAGTTTTTCCAGCACCATTTATTGAACAGACTATCCTTGTTCCATTGCACAGTCTTTGCTCCTTTGTCATAGATTAGTTGTCCATATATGTGTGGTCTTATTTCTGGGTTTTCA